TACCAAGAAGTTAACAGTGCTTTTCTCTGGGAGATGGAACTATGGGCAATTTTTATATCTTTCTTCTTTCTGTTTATTTTTATTTCCAAATTTTTCTTTTCTATAATAAACATGTATTACCTGTGTCTCAAATGTAAAAGAAAGAGAAAATTACATATAATATATATATGTTAAAGCATTTCTAATTTAACTGTACTTGCTGCTAGCAATTTCACATCATTTGGCTTGGCTCACTGAGCTTCTCAAGTGATACCAGGCTGTTTATATTAGAGAGTACTACAAATTGGATAACCAAAAATCTCCTAGAGAGAGCTCATAAAATGACATGGTTGGATGGAAACCTGAACAGATGGGCTAACTCTACCATGTGCTATATTAACCCTGCTGTTTTCAGACTTGTGGCCAATAACACATTGAAAAAGTACAATTCTAAAAATAAGTTGTTAAAATCAAAGATGTTTAAGCAGTTTAATCTACAAGTTGGGACATGGTGGACAGGCACTTGTTGAAATGTTTCATTCTTATTAAGATCATTTATTTATGACTATGAAAATACTTGAGTTTCAGAGGAATTCTGAAAAGATGAACTGTAATGGGGGCTGAGGGAACAGCAGCCCAGCATGTTTCCAAGTAGCTTGACTGCCGTCAGTATATTGCATTGAAACTAGTGTAAGTGGTGTCTCATTATGTATATGATTATGATAAACAAAGGGAGAGTGGAGTTGTAATTGACTAAATAAAAAGAATAGGACCAGATCCTGATCTTGTGTCTGTTCCAATCACTAGTTGGAAATCAGTGCCTAAAACACACACATAATTCTGTGAAAAAAATAATGTTGGTATATTATTTGCCCAGTTCTGCTATCTGTAGAGAAATCAGAGCTTAGTTCTGAGTTATTTATCTGAATTATGTATATTAAAAAATTTAAAACATTCACTGTTAGAATTTAAATAAAATTGTAAATAAGAATAAAAATTTACAGCTTTTGGAAAGATTATTTTAAAATAGCTGGTTAGTAGCCATTTAATGTCAACAAAGATCTAAGAGGTCTTTTAATAATACAGTAACAACAGAAGAAAGGCAGGTAATTCCATTTTGAGCAGAAAGGGGGTATAAACACTATTGTCAGAAAGCCGAGTTTCTTTTCACAAGTCTGTCATTAACTAGGCTTGTGACCTTGAAAAAATATCACTTATATTCTGGGAGACTCAGTATCCTCTTATTTTTAAAAATGGATCTAAATGGATGATATCTTAGGGCTTTCTTAATGTAATGATTCTGTAATGATTATAAATTTTAGAAATAGTTATTTGAAATTAAAATTGTCTAGGAGGAGCTTGTCCCATAAAAAATGAAACTCTCAGAATATGATATTCTTAAGCCAGTTTCTTAAAGGCATTTTGCAAATTTATTATCCATTGAGATAGCGTAGAATGAGTTGGAAGAGTGTAGCATGGAGAGTCACTTGGCTGAAGTGTAATTTAAAAAATCACTTTTCTATCTGTTACATTTTCCATTTAGTCATGGGCTGAAGGTCCTATGTGGGCCACATGTCCCAAACTGTTATTAGTGACCCAACTCTGTATAACTAACTCACCTGCTTTTTCTGCCAAAATTAAATCTACCTACAAATAATGAAACTGACATTGTTGTTGGTAAATATCAATGAATATTTTCTGTAATTAATTTAAATAATAATAAAACTCTTCCTTTAACTTGGAATCAAAGGCATAACATAAAACAATGCCAGAAACTAACTTGGATTTCTTAGAGGAACTGAGTTGCAAACCAGTCATTACCAGACAGTTTTGGGGAACTTAAAAAATAATCTAAATTTCTAGTCTATGATTCTGAAGAATTTCAAGATTGCTACTTCATGACTATAGGATTTATTTGGTTACTGGAAAATGAATTGACTTGCCTAAAGTAATTCTACAGGTTGATGAAAGCAACAAAATATATAGTATTTCTCACATTCAATTCTTCTTATATAAATATTAGCTATTAATAACAAACCAGTGCCATTTCATGAATGCTTACTCTGAAGAAAGGGAAAGAAGGTAAAAATAAGGATAAGAAGTACAATAAAATAAAATATATTTATTTGTTTGGAAAGATAATTAAAATCATGGTTATTTATTGATATAAAAACAGAGATGGTTTCAATGAGTTTATACAAGGACAGTTCACTGAAGGCCAGAGAAAGAAGAATCAGTGATATGATAAAGAAGAAAATTCTGTTTTTTACTTTGTGCTTAACTATGATAAAGAATGTCATCAACTTAGTTAGAATAGATGGCAGATAGTCAAAAAATGAAAAATTCTACCTGGAGAATGTTGGGATTGTTAGTGAGACATGAATGTGAAACTTGCAGATCACAAAAGAGGGACTTTGCTGGAAGATATTTCTAGCAGATAAGTGACCAATCTCCTTTCCAGGAAACAGTAGACCAGGTGCTAGTAACAGAGAAAAATTATGAGAAAATTTTCCTAAGTTATATATTATTGAAAGAATGAAAGATGTAAAATCAAGAAAGATCTATTACTGGGCACTCTGCAACGAAAAGAGATAAGATAATAACAATGAGAAAATTATAAAACACTGGGAGACAAATTAACTCTTGAATGTAGAATAGGCTAATAGAGTCTACTAATTAAAATTAGCACAATTGACAGTATGAAGAATACAATTATGAGGGGACATCCTAAACTTTGTAGAAGCTAGCACTTAAATCTGCAATTATCCTATTCAGGTGATGACTCCAAATCACATTTTTCCCCACTCTCTGTTCAAATGATAGTTTCAAGTAAAAATTCTGAGTATGATAAATCTCTAAATGTGTCTTTAGTTCAAGGAATTTGTCCAACTGTTACTTGCTTCAGTGTAACTCTAAGCCTGAGACTGAGACTAACTTTGACCTTTAGGAATTATTGGTATATAGTTTTACTCTCACATATTTGAAATATTTCTAAAATTTCTAAAATCACCTCTGTCCAACCACCTCTTTTCTGCTTCCTGAATATTAAGTACTATTTCCTGATCACTTTGTGTGTGTTAAGTAGTTTGCATACAGCTGTCAAATCACACAATCACACAATAGTTAACTGTAAATTATTTATTTTATTTACAAATTAAATACTTTAAAAGAGGGGCTAAATGACTGTTCTGAGTCATGCAGAAATGCAGAGACTCAAACCTAGTCAACTTCATATTAAAGCATGTGTTCTGTTCACCTCATTCTGCTTCATTGTCATAGCCAAAATGTGTGAAGGTTTGACAACAAATATTAGGTAACTCCCCATCTTCTAACTGGGTCCACAAAGAAGACTAATGCATGAGGGAAAGCGAAAAAAAAAAAAAAAAACATCAAATTTCTACTTTTAAAAGTTTTAGCAGTATTGTCCTAGAGGAGACCTATGGCAAGTTGGTAAAGTGGTACAAATTTATTTTAGGTTTTTACTTTTCCTCTTAGGGTCTTATTTCTTCCTTCCAATCCTCTGTCTTAGTTACCCCAAGGACTGCTGTCTCCAGCAGCTATTAAGCTGGTACATACCTGAGAGTTTGGATGTTATGTTGTTAATAGCTCAATATGTTTTACTTTACAAAATTCCTGAAGTCCTAAATCATTCAAAACGCTACAAGGTTTTGGCTTCTGGGGAAGGAATATTTTCAGACAGAGGGGTCTTTTCAGAGCTTCTTCAATCATAATATTGAGGCCACCAGGCAGGCAAATCCAACGTTGACTCAGATTTTAGGCTGTACACAAGGCATCTTTTTTTCACCCTTGAAAGCCCTTTCAGACTTTGTGAGTGTGTGTTTTTTTCCCCAGAGAAAATTCTCTCTGTGACTTTAAAAAATGAATTGCTGTGTGCCTATGTCCTTTTTAAAGGTATTTTCAGTTGACATACTGACCCAGGAGAAGAGGTAGAAGCTTTTAACTTCGACATCAATGAAATCAGGAAAACAAAAGGTTTTTCAAGCAAGACAATTTCTATGTAGGTCCCTTAACAATTAAAGAATGGTCAAAAAAAGCCAATTTTAAAATGGAAGTTACTTTCTCTCTATCTGTAACCCATGAAACTCCCATCTTCAAACTTCTTGTAAACAGTCAAGTTTATATAAAGATACAGCAACAAAATCAGATTTTAAAAATTATTAAAACCTACATCTATAATATCTGTTTTTATTATCAGTGCTGCTTTCCTTCTGAATGGTTGGATTAGCTACAGATCTTTGTTTGGAATAAATATGGATAGGATGGAGGCAGATTCTTTACTTAAAAAATATTTAGTCTTCATGTTTTACTTGTAAAAGTTCCTGGTTTTTCCTATGTACATTTTCATGCTCCATTATCTTGCCAAGACTCTATAGGAACACATTCTAGCCTTAAATTCTAAACAAATAACGTCAATGGCAAATTACTAAGGAAAAATATATTTATTATTCTGTATCTTTTCAGTCTCCCTGAATCCTGCACCTGTGAGAGGAATTTTGGACAGAAGCATTGGAGCCATTTGGGGATTCCCTCAGATCTAATATTTTGTTGGCTGTGAATTGTACCCCATTATGTGCTACACTGCACTTTATTTCCCACATTTGGCACTTTTAGTGATATTTTCTCCAAACAGACACAGGGAGCCATGCTTGGTATTCTTTAAAGGGAACAAATAGATGAGCTAATTGTTTTAAATGCCCCCAATGAGATAAGTGGCAGGATGCTGGAATTGATCATCTAATTACCTATTTGCTATCACAGAGAAGAGGAAAATCCATCCATAATTAATGTTTAGAGAATGCAAAAGTTGTCATCTTAAATGAAGGTAAAATATAATAATCACATTGAGGACTTATTACAGAAAAATACGAATTATTTGCTAGATGTTGGGAATTGGCTGCTTTTTTTTTTCTTAATTGTGTGTTGGCACCTGTGATATGTATGGTATTACTGAGGTATTTGTCTGGAATTTAGTTCTGATTTATAAGCATTTTCATTTACAGAACTTTGGATGCCATTCCACTTGATGTCAAGAGAAGAATACCTAAAGAGTCCTCAGTCCAGGGCCAGCCACTTACCTATTAAGCATGCAACTCACTTGCCTGAAAAGGGCAATGGCAAAGCAGTCTCATGGACTAAGCGAGCTATGATGTTAGTTATAAGGAAAGTATGGCAATATCCTATGGGATATGTACAAGGTGAGTATCTTCTGGGATAAGCCCAAGGCTGTAGGATAACAGACCTTTATTTCTAGTGCATATGTGTTTATTTTATGAATAAGAATATTTTGATTAATTCAGAGAAAAGAGAAAAGTAATCCCATACTAGAAAAAAATTTAGAAGCAAATGTGTACATAAATGGTTTGTTCATTTTCTCACATTGTGTCAATTATCTTGACAAATCTATGGATCAATTAGTTGATGTGCCTGAGTAAACATTAAATAAGAAGATTATTACTTTATTGGTAATATTGGTAGTATACACTGCCCTTTTAGCATAGTGAGATCTCAGTGTCTTCTCTGTCTTTCAACTCATCACTACTGAAGTGAAATTACTTTTCCTTGGGCTCACCTTAGCTCACCTACAGAATGATTTGGGTATGGTCTAGAGAGAAAGTGACCAAGGAGAAAGCTTAGAATATTTAAATCTGATGCATAGGCTTTCATACACAGGCAAAGTTGACATTGCATCTTGACATGGACCAGTGTAACCTACAAACAGTAAGGGACTATGTAATATGTCATTGATGACTAACTACTTTTGAGAGTTAAAGAGGTACAAATTTATTAATTCACCAGGATAGAGGCAGCCCCAGGCAAACTGGAATATATTATTATACTATCCAGGAGAGTACATTAGCATTTGAAGCAGTAATGAAGTATTTATTAGTCTGGTCCTGTTTTCTTGCATATAAATTCTTATGATGGACTGGGAACCTTGTGGAGGCTTGATGTGGTTAAACAGGGTTTGAATTTTAGAGATTGTGTGTTCTGGTCAACTGTGTTTCTCACCACACTTTGAGAAAGGGCCAACTTTTGATATACGTGGCAAACCAAGACTTGAAAACACACACATGGGAGTGAAAAAGAATGGGGAAAGTAGGCCTTAGGTATTGGGACAAGCCTCTAGTGGTTATATTCCAACTGCAGGTGCAACTGTAGCACTGCTAAACCAGGACCTACTTAGAGTCAGCAGGATATGATATTAACAAAGATAAGTTTCGTTTCCATTGTCAAAGCCAGCTCACTCAGCACTTTATCTTTCTTTCATGACAAAATCTTTTTTTTTTTTTTTTGAGGCGGAGTTTTGCTCTCGTTACCCAGGCTGGAGTGCAATGGCGCAGTCTCGGCTCACCGCAACCTCCGCCTCCTGGGTTCAGGCAATTCTCCTGCCTCAGCTTCCTGAGTAACCGGGATTACAGGCACGCGCCACCATGCCCAGCTAATTTTTGTATTTTTAGTAGAGACAGGGTTTCACCGTGTTGACCAGGATGGTCTTGATCTCTTGACCTCGTGATCCACCCGCCTCGGCCTCCCAAAGTGCTGGGATTACAGGCTTGACATGACAAAATCTTAAAAGATGTCAAAGCCTTCAAAATCTTAAAAGACGTCAAAGCCCCCAAACTGTGTTTATGACTGTGGAAGATAAAATCTGATATTAGTGGAAATTTGGATTTATTATGAGAGCCAGGACAGGTATACCCAGAACCTCAAATTGAAAATGAGGCTACAGGCCTAGTTGAAAAGATATATAAATTAAAAAACAAAACTAATTTCTAAAAGTACACAAAGCTACCACTAAAGGGGAAAAAATTGTTTCCAGCCCCACTCACAGTTATAGTTCCCAGCCCCACAAATACTTGTTTCTCTTGGTGACAGAAATGCAAAAAGCACCTAAAAGGATGTAAGATACCATTTATCTGCCATCCCATCCAGTTTGACCCATTATGTTTTTATCATTTTTATCTGGAAGAATAATGTTTGGTAATATTTAGGCCAGATCACACTCCAACAGCCTTCTCCTATAATAGAATTATTAGTGTAATCAATAGAGTCCTACTGAAGACCCTTTATATGCAAACTACTTGGGGAAGCAAAAAAGAAAACCGCGGAGTGCTGTATGCAAGGGACTTCCAGTCTTCTGAATTGCCATTAGCTGCACTCCAGAGGCTGACAAGGACTTGAGAAAGAAGCGGAAGCTATTGGATGTCCTGTTAGTAACTGTAATAATCATCTTTGCGAGACAAAAAATAATTGTGGAAATAATGTGTATTCTGCCAAGTTCAAAGATGTTAATATACAATTATGTAATGGCATAAACGATTCTACAGAATTTGATAGAGCCAGAATGGGACATGCTTAAAATATATTAAGAAAAAAACAAGTGAAATTAAAGTACTGAAATAAGTTAGCTCTAATCTTAGTGGAGATTTCAAACATCAGTGATTAAATGGAAATTGAGGTAAACCCCTGGGACTGCATGGGAGCTTGGTGGTGAAAGCAACTACATAAAAAGCTGAGGTGTCTACTCTAGAGCTTAGGGAAAATGGTCTTTGAGGATCTGCAGGCTTTGAGTGTTGCGAAGGTTACACCAGATTACTCAATATTACTAAGGTTACTCAGATTACTCAAAATTAGTGGGTACATTCTTTTTTCACCTTGGGATCATTATAACTAAGAGCATAAATAGTAAAGGTAACCAGAAAAATCTTAGTATTAATATTTTCTCTTAACTGCAGGTATAATTAGTATGTATTCGAGTGATTAAAATGTAATGATTATGAAAATTTTGGTATATTAGACTATCCACCAGACTTACTTTGTGAAACCAATTTGAAATATATGCTTAAGTAGTGGACTTAGACTGGTGATTTTAAATTGAAAGCCATGGGGCACTTTTTGCTAATCATGTTGAAATGCTAAGAGGAATAAAATCATTATACTTGTAAGTACAATTGGTGAAATTTATAAGAATTAATTACTGAAAAAAGATTTTGTTAGGCAGACAAAGTACCTTAAAAAGGGTTGATTACATGTCTAAATCTAATTTAAAATATTTAAAGAAACATATTTAACTTTAAAAGCTCTCTTAAAGAACCTTTTAAAATTTAGTAGATTTATAAAAGGAATAAGATTTTTAAGATATACATTAAGGAAAAACTAAGTTTTAAAAATGTGTAAGAGGCAAACATTATTTTTCTTTTCTATGCCTTAAAATTACCCTCAATGATACAAGAAAATTTATGTCAGCAGCAAAGAGAATAACAAACACCTGGAAAAAATTTTTTTAAAGACAAAATGATACATTAGATATCCCAATGCATAGTTGATAGCAAAATAAATTATGCAGACAGCAAAACTGTGGGTTTAAGGGAAAGGACAGCTCACTGTAGTGTGAATTGTTCTGGTAAAGTTCAATTAAAATGTATTAAATTACCCTCAGCTTCATCCTCATGAATGGAGTTGCATAGACCTTTACAATTTGCATTATGTGGTGATGATAAAGGCACAGGGGTAACTTATCAACAGTGATTTGTTTAAAAGTGAGAAGCTTTCTCGTGTGAAAGTTTCTGAAAATATTATCCTTTCTTTAATGTGAAGATGTCAGTATGCTTTATTGATTTATGCTTTTGTATTCATTGTTCTTTTAGTGTGGAAATGTGCACCTTTGACTGAACCATGTTTCTTGCTCCATATTGAAAAATGACCTCATTCCTTTGTAAGTATTAGTCACATTTTAATGGGGACATATTCAACGTTTGTGCGGGAACTCCCGAATCTTCTGAAAGCATTAGCATCACACATGGGTGAATTTCAATTACCGATGGTGCCACCAATTCAGTGTTCTTCCTATATTATGGTCACAGATGAAGGTGAATTTTTAGATGGTCAGTGACTACAGGCTTTGAAGCAACTGACGTCACTTGCTTTTCATTTGTAACCTTTCTGCTCGTAATTGTAGTTCCTGCTGGTAAGCAAGATGTGTAAACACGTAAACATACTAGGCTTTGAAAATGCAAGCTCTTTTGCTCTGCATTAATATGATCATTTCTCTAAGTTAATGCATCATCATTACTTCCCACTTGGCACATGGGAAAATGTAGCACAAGCAGAAATAGGGTTTGAAGTTAAATCTCAAAAAAGAAAAAAAAAAGATTTTGCTCTTATAGAAAATAAAAGAAGTAAGGGCTATAAACAAAACAAAAAAACGCTTGAGTTGTATTTGAAAAGTGGCTGCTAGGCAGGCAGAATTTCCTGAGCTCTTGGACTGAAGATGGTCATACACTATGAGATGTTTTGCTTTTTCCATTCAGGCAGAAGGTGGTTGAAAGAAGATACTTTTAAATGTCATTCCAAGTATGCCAGGGGTGCAGACCAAGAAAAGCCTTTAGAATCCATTAGGTTTCTTTTAAGATTCCCTACAGACACTTTACCTATCTGAAAATTATTTTCTCCACTGTCACCAGGAGATAATAATATCTATTTTGCACCATTGTTGTATAGAGCAGTGATCACAGTGCTGATGTAGAGCAGGAACTCAGTAAAAAGAAAGGGTTTTGAATGTTAATAAAGAAAGTTAAAACCTGCTCAAACAAGTAAGAAGTGACAAACTCTTCCATGAGATTTATTTTCCTCATCTCTAAATACAGTAACAGGACCTTATTCTTTGGGTTAAATAAGGTAGTGAGGATTAAATCAAAGCACATGAAAATGCCTTGCACAGAGCCTGGGTCATTGTAAGTGTTATGTGAAACTTTTTTCTCCTTTCCTTCAGTTATAGATTTGGGTAATAAATGCTGTCCTCGTGTATTAGTGCTTGTGTTTTAGATTTTTTGATTTAGAAACATTTTGATAATACCTTAAATATAACAAAATATTTTCAAAAGAAGTAGGTGTGTAATGATTGGTTTCCATTTTATGGCAAATTAGTGATCAAGTGGCTTGGAAATTTAGGATATGACTATTCTATGGAAGAAACAATCGCACTGATAAAACAGAAGAACAAAGAAATTGAGAGAAAATACAAGCTACTATCAATTAGGAGTTCAGTCTTGAGCAATGTGAGCTGGAGGACAAATGTATTGGCTATCAACTTCTTTTTTTTTTTTTTTTTTGAGACGGAGTTTCACTGTTGTTACCCAGGCTGGAGTGCAATGGCGCGATCTCGGCTCACCGCAACTTCCGCCTCCCGGGTTCAGGCAATTCTCCTGCCCCAGCCTCCTGTGTCGCTGGGATTACAGGCACGCGCCACCATGCCCAGCTAATTTTTTGTAGTTTTAGTAGAGACGGGGTTTCACCATGTTGACCAGGATGGTCTCGATCTCTTGACCTCGTGATCCACCCGCCTCGGCCTCCCACAGTGCTGGGATTACAGGCTTGAGCCACCGCGCCCGGCCAGGTATCAACTTCTTAAAAGGCATTAGAATAACCTGTTGATCAGCAAAGCTAAGTTTATTAACGTTTAGGGTAGTAAGGGAGAGCACCTCCTTGGCAGACTTGGTGGTATCTGATTGGGAGTGTTTTATAAAATTTATTGGTTCTTTTGATGGCAGGCCACATCACAATAACACTCAGATAGATGAAAAGCAGAACTTTTTGTTACTTATGTAGCAGGAGTGGCCTCAAGAAACAGCTCTGGAACACTGAATGGGGAAGGGATGGGTTTATTACGGCCGGGAACTGGGCAATGAGTTGTCCAAACCCAACTCGTCTAACAAAGAAATATTCTGCCTTTATATAGGCTTACACTCTAGACATTGCATGTGGAAGAATCTTAGGTTTACAGCCTTAGAAATCAGGAGTGAAAGGATTTTGGATTTACAGCTTTAGGAATCACATGTGAAAAGGTTTCTGGGTTTACAGCTTTACAAATCACATATGAAAGGGTTTTGGGTTTACAGTTTTAGAAATCACCTATTAAAGGGTTTCTGGTTTTACAGCTTCAGAAATCACATATGAAAAGGCTCTGGTCTCTGGATGGAGGAGTAGGGTGGGGGTGGGGGTTTGATCTTGTTTTAAGTAAAAACAGTGTCTTCCAGAGAGTTTCCCCAATACCAAGGGTGTTATTTACAGGAAGGTGATTCAGGAGGCACCAGTTGGCCTGCGTTTTCTTCTATTGAAATGTATTGTGAATGTCAAGGGGGAGGTGATCCCAGATGCCTGGGTCTCCTTCCTCACTTACAGCTCAAAAGAAAGATCACTGCCAGGCAGGGTTACTCAGTGGGTAGTGTCCCAGGTCGGGGTAATAGCAAGCTAGAGGTGTTAGATGCAGTTTAAGTATGACAACCAGGATACGATTAGCTAGGTTTTGTAGGCTCCCTGTGGATTGGCTAATTTGAATAATTTCCTGAGTTCCAGGGCATAAGAACTGTCCCTAGTTGTCTGATACCTGGCCCTCGGGTGATTAACGCAGGTGCATAGTGGCCAGGTGAATGAAGTATGAAACCTCAATAAGGAAGTGATTGGTATGTGGATTTAAACAGTTGCTCAAGAAAGGGGAACTGTCTGAACTTAAGCTAGGGATTGAAAACTGAGTCAAGACAGCCTTTTAAAATAAAACAACAACAAGAACACGAAAAGCTTTATTACAGAAAGATGTCAGGGGAAAAATTATATTAGGTAGTGAGGTCTGGGCTCATGTGGTTTAAGATGGGTTTTTTTATAGCAGGGACTGGGTGAGACTGGGCAAAGTTCATAACTTAATAGTTTAATATTGGGGGAACACAGAGAGTTAAGACTCTGGAAACAGATCTTGATAAATTGTTACTTGGCAAGCCAGCTTCTTGCCTAGGTGAACAATCTATAAACTTTAGACAAGGGTTGTTTCCTTGAATGAGCAAACCCTTTACCTGGACACAATGGTCTTTAGGAATTTCCTGAAACAGTGAAGTTATTCCTTAGACTCCTTTTTTTCTCAGGCTATAATTTTTTTGGAATAAAAAGGAAAATTATCTTGACACAAGTGTTCCCAGCCATTAGTCCTGAAGTTCAGCATCACGGATTCAGATGATCTTATTTCTCAGAGAAAAGAATAAGACTTCTACACCTAAAATAATAGCAAACCCACAAAATAGCAATATATATGCTCATGAATATATAGGAAAATAGATCAGAACATTTTAAATATTTACACACATGTTAACGTGTGTATTCGTGACATTCTATAATACAGAAGTTAAAACTAGAGGGTTTAAAGGAAAAGTACATTAGGCAATGTATTGCAGTTGAAAGAGCATTGAAATGAGAGAAAAGCAGCAGATTTCTAGCCTTAACTTGCCACTAAGATGATGTTTCTACTTGGGCAAGTCACTGATAGAATTTAGGTCAGGAACTGTACCACTTTTGTTTTTCGTTTTTGTTTTCTTTGTGACTATAGTTCAGTGCTTAGTATAATATTAATGATCAGCTAATATTTGTTGAATCTAAGAATTTATAAATTTGATAGAGAAATGTTCATGGAAGACATACATATGAAGCTGGGCAATAAATTGGAGTGGAACTAGGAAGAAAGAACAGCATTTCAAAAAACAAAAAAAAAGGTGGAGAATGTGAGTGGGTAAAAAAGAGATGACACATTTATAGGACAATGAAACATTAACGCTTCCCAAATCTATGAGGAATTAATAGTAGAGCTGGTAAGTTGAGGAAGGTCACAAGACATGGAAAACCTAAAAAATCAGGAATTTATATTTGACAGGTATGATAGAGAAAGTTCTTTAGTTTTCTCCATGAAGGATTCCTAATGACTGCTGGAGGTAGTCAGATTTTGTGGTCCCAGGAGAAAACCTGAAAGGATAATGGTTAGCCCAAAATTTCCACAAAGTTTACTATTTTATATTAAAATTGTATGTCATATTTGCATTGTACCTTATGATATATGTGTACTAGTTTTGTTCCAAGAATACTAAACTTCCACAAATCCTTGCATTAAAGTATCACTCTATAAATCTACACTATCTTTATTGGGCACATTATTGTCCCTACCCTGGCTTCCTTATCCCAGTTATGCCAACTTCTGTTTAAGAACCATTTGAAAAACTTAGTAAAAGATGATATAAGGGAAGCAAACAAGGCTTAAAATTACCAGTCTACAAATATCTCTTTGCTGATAGGTATGTGCAAAGAAGAACATTTTTTTTAGGCAGGGCAATCAGAAGATGTCTGGTGATTCAATTGGGACAGTGAAGGGGTTGGCAAACTATAGCTCACGGGCCAAATTCTGTCAGTTTTGTAAGTAAAGTTTTGGAAACAGCCATGTGAACTCATTTACATATTGTCTACAATTGTTTTAAATACTACAATATAGAGTTGAGTGTTGCAACAGAGACCAAATAGCCTCCAGAGATACAAATATTCTTTCAGGCCCATACAGAATGTAAGTCTTCTGGCTCCTGGTTTAGTTTAAAGTGATGCCAATGGGGTCAAAAAGGAAAGCAATCCATGTGAAAAAAATTGGAAAGAAGAAGTTGCTATTTAACCCCCAAAAACAAACACCTGCTTTTGGATTTATAGGATACAGGATTTGAAAGAAGTAAAATACTTACACTTTATCTACTTCAAAGGCAACTTGAAGTTTTCAAGCCTGGGTAACTCAGAAAATTACGGTGTCCTTGGCAGGCACGGGGTGATAGAAAGAAAAGCCAGTTTAGGGGCGCTTAATCTTTTACATGTTGATTCTGAGGTGACAGATTAACTCCAAAAAATGTCTAGCGACATTCTGCACCTATTGGAATGTAACTTGAATGCAAGATGATGACAGAGGATATAGATTCAGAAGTCATCAACAGAAGATATAACCAGAGTCATTTTCACTAGCAGAAGAACAGTCAATGCACTTAATGATGAAAGAAAAAAAGGCAAAGAAGTGGTTCATGAGATCCATGCATTGAACATGGTAACAAGAGACTAAATGCCTGTTTATACCCAGAACAGCCACCTATCTGCCATCTAGTTTATCTGGTTGTCCTTTGATTCTCCATCAATTAAGTATACAAATAAATTGTCCAATCCTTATGAACTGTGTTGAGAAAACAGAATAAAGGATTTAAAATATGTTTGTAGCTCCAAAAAAGAAAAAAAGAAAAAAGAAAGAAACACTATAGGCAAATTCTAGGGATTATAATTATTATCCAGAAAAGTCAGCTATGCCTCAGATATTATAATACTAGGGGTCTAATTATGCTTTCTGTGAGTACAGTGAGCTGTATAATATATGATTCTAACTATAACTTGATCCCAGCATTAAGAATGTGATTCTACAACATTTCCTTAGGGGAAAAGGAGTGGAGTGAATATTAGAAGGGTTTATAGCTTGTTAGACTTTGTCAGACTTTAATTCAGTTATACAGTTAAGATATCTGTTTTAATACATGATAAGTGAGCTGAAGATTATCTAATATTTCAGGGAGTATATAAATGAACTGTTTATATAATCTTTAACTCAGAATTGGTAAGATCATCAGGGACTGAATAACACCCATTCCTCCCAGCAACCCTCATCTTTCTTTGTTGTGCTATGATGAAGGAATAACCACACCCATATCCTCCTGTTCTGGCCAATGACTTGCTTCCATTCAAATTACACAGATTTCATATGCAGATTCATAAAAGTGGAGAATGGGAAAGTCAGAGTCAAGTTGGAAGACCTACACTTAATACTTTCACTCATTTCGTCATTAATTATGCTATTCAAGACCAATTGAGATAAAGAATAAAAAACTATCAGC